TGGAGGGCAGGGGCGACATCAAAGGTCTAATAGACCCCTGATGTCTTCATAAAGAAAACCTGTTACCTACAAACGCTATTGCAAAGGGGCTTGTTAGTCCTTCCACTATAATTTATCACTCCCCTCTGCCCCCACACGTGTATGTAAGCAACAATTTTGCCACACGTGTTGGGTATCACCGTTGGGTATTGTCGGAGTGAGAGCAATAATTCTAGGGCCATAATTCGCTGTTAACTCTAAACTGATGAGCACTAAAGTTTTTTAAAGCGTCTATGAGTTATGAGTACCATAGTTTTTCACCATTGCACAGGAGCACACAATTTTAATATGCGACATGACTGGTATCTATTTACTCAATGTGACCCCATCTTTTATTACCAAAAACTTATACATAGTTACATAGTTAGTCAGGTTGAAAAAAGACACAAGTCCATCGAGTTCAACTTGTAGAGATACGGAGAAAAAAGAAAAAAAAAAAGAAGAAAAGCCTAAACAGAACACGATGGGTGTTATATTGTATATGTGTGCACTAAAATTACTGTATTTTTCCATGTATAAGACTATACTTTTTCTTAAAAATATTTACCTAAAAATGGAAGGGCGTCTTATACACGGGGGGCCGAGAGGAGAACCGCGGTTGCGAAACTGCCGATACCTCTGCAAACTAGCCGCACGAGTGAAACTTCCAATTGCAGAGACATGCTAACAGGTTTCCTCCAATCATGAGCCTTATGTACCTGACGTCAGCTGATGCTGCGGAGAGCGTGTAGCCAGTGCCCAGATGCAACAGGGAGCCCATAAAAATGTCAGAAAACAAAAAAAATACCGGTACCAGTAAGCGGCTGTCTTACTCTGCAAAATTTTAACTGGATGTAATCAGTTATGCAAAAGAGCATGGAAAATATTGATTTCTGAATTTTGGGTAAGAAAAGTGGGGGGCGTCCTATACATGGGGGCGTCTTATAGACGGAAAAATACGGTAATTTTAGTGGGGTTTTTTAACTAAAAATATTAATTTGATAAACATTTGTGTAAATGTTGTACAACATAAACAAAATGCAGCTATCTTTTTTTATTCTACAGGGCCTCTGCTTACAGAAAATAATTGTTTGGGGGTTCAAAGTAATTTTCTATGCAAAAATTCAGATTTTAAAATGTGTGTGAGAAAAACAATGCTCCAGTACTAAGATGCTTAAAAGAGAACTGTGGGGTAACCTTTGAATCCCATAGTTCTCTCTTTAGGATCATGGGGGGACATATACTAACCTCCTCCCATGACCCAAAACTCAGTATATAGCAGTCTTTTGCCCGCTATATGCTGAGAGCGCCGCAGCCAGGACAGTTCCCGGCAATACTATCGAGATCCACCCCACTGGGAGAGAGGGGGGGGATCCCTGTGGGGAGCGGTGACTGACAGTCACCACTCTCTGCAGATAGATGATCGAGAAGTGAGCGAGCGGTAGTATGTATTCGCTCACTTCCTGATCACTAGAGCCGACATGTGACAGTTTTCATAGTTCTTCTTTAAGCATGAGCTAAAAACTTCCTGACTCATGTTCTGAAATTAGATTGTTGGCAAGCGACTATGCAGGTTTTCCTGAGATAAAATGGTAAATGCCATAAATAAAATGTTCACAAACTGTAAGGAGATGTATTTTGTGTTTTTCTATAGACAAGTGGATATGATGGCTGTTGTAGAAACAACGCACACCTATAGTACAAGGGAGACATCTTGAGGACAAAGCTGCTTAAAGCATGCTGCTGTGTAGGAATTAAAACAATCTATGTTGAAATCTAATGATCTTTGATATAATCCGGTGTGAAGTGTAATCACACACAATGAAGCTTATTATTCAGAATTTACCTTTATGGTGATATTTAGATTTTCTGCTTTTGTTTCGATTCATTATAGTGAACCTGTACTTTGCCAATTCTAGGAATATGTTCACTTCTCTCTATAAAGCTTGAATACCCACGCACGCTGTAGCCCGATATGGTGGATAGACTGGGAAATAGTGGTGCTCATGAAATGCTCTGACCACCGCAGTACAGAACAAATATAACACAGGTTCCAGAGCACAGGTTCATGTGCCTAATTTAATTTTTTTTTTTAACAGGTAAAGTTTTTATTGAATTTCAAAACCAAAATTAAAAAAATGTCAGGCTGAAATCAAAACCAAAAATGTTTTATATTTAAACTTTTTCAATTTTTTTATAATTTATTTTTATTTATTTTTTATAAACTATTTTTTTAAATGTATTCATTTAAAAAAAATATTTTTAATTTTTACTTTACTTTTAGGAGTTTCGGGGAAATATTAGTGGTCTAAACAGCCCCTGTTATAAATGGCCAGGAATCCTCTATGAGTGTTCCTGTTCATTCATAACATGAGAACATTGTGTGTTTTCTATAGCCACAATCATGAATGAACAGGAGGTGATGTAGATCACTTCCTATTCATTCATAATTGAGGATATAGTAACCATACTCTGTCCTCAATTATTTACAAACACTCAGTGATCACTGATCACTGAGTGTTTGTAACGTTCTCCTTCCTGACACGCTGTCACAGGAGACTGAGCAAGCAGAGCTCAGCCTGCTGTGACAGCGTTGGCTGTCTCCGCCACACACCACTCTTCCCTGATCTGTGACAGGAGGCTGATCGGTGTGGGAGGAGAGACGTCAGCCGCTCACAGCGCTCTCCTCCCGCAGCGCTCGGCCTGTGACAGTTTCTCTCCTCCCCGCTAGGACACAGAGCAGCGTCCAGCGGGGAGGAGAGAAAGAATGGATGCACCGCTGTATCGGCCAGAAAATTGCACTTTCGGCATTATGCCAAAAGTGCCATTTTTGGCCGATATTTTTTTTCGGCGGACGATTTTCCCCCGAACACTTACAGTCATCATGTTTCCAAACAGCTCCAACTCTCTCACCAGGGTTCCCTGAACTGCCTGTCCAGCACAAGGGACAGCGCAGACTACAGCAGCCATCCATCTACTAGCTTGGAGAATGGCGGAGAGGGGAAGGATAAGCGGGGGAGCAGGAGAGCTGCTTGCCTGCGGTGTACCTGTGTGTTTTTGGAGGCATACACAGCTTACTAGAACACACATGGGTGGCTCCATAGGACACTGCAAGGAAAGAGACACCCTAAAAAAAGGATATCAGGGCCAGTGCTCAGAGGACCAGCTGAATCGGCAGGAAAATAAAACTTTTATCAAGAACCAGCATCCATTGTAATTGATTTAATCAGCATGTGAAGTAAGTTAAAACTCCTTTTACTTAAATATCACTTTAGATATCAGATGAACAGTTTGCATCGGTATACAGTACCTTCTAACGCGTTTCAGTCACACATGGCCTTAATCGTGGCTGGTTCACACTGGCTCAGTGAAAACTGTGTACTATAATCTGTACTGTTCAACTCCTCCATCATGTCTCCTTCTTCTTCTTCTTCTTCCCCCTAGCTTAGTGCTACAAACTGGCTTCTTCTTCCACCTGGCTCAGTGCTACAGACTGTGTGCTATAGCCTGTACTGTTCCACTCCTCCACCATGGCTTCTTCTTCTACCTGGCTCAGTGCTACAAACTGTGTGCTATCACCTGTACTGTTCTACTCCTCCACCATGGCTCCTTCTTACCCTTGGCTCAGTGCTACAGACTGTGTGTTATCACCTGTACTGTTCTACTCCTCCACCATGGCTCCTTCTTCCACCTGGCTCAGTGCTACAGACTGTGTGCTATCACGTCTACTGTTCTACTCCTCCACCATGGCTCTTTTTTCCACCTGGCTCAGTGCTACAGACTGTGTGCTATCATCTATACTGTTCCACTCCTCCACCATGGCTCCTTCTTCCCTCTGACTCAATAAAGACTGTGTGCTATCACCTGTACTGTTCCACTCCTCCACCATGGCTCCTTCTTCCCTCTGACTCAATAAAGACTGTGTGCTATCACCTTTACTGTTCTACTCCTCCACCATGGCTCTTTCTTCCCTCTGACTCAATAATGACTGTGTGCTATCACCTGTACTGTTCTACTCCTCCACCTTGGCTCAGTGAAGACTGTGTGCTATCATCTGTACTGTTCCACTCCTCCACCATGGCTCCTTCTTCCCTCTGACTCAATAAAGACTGTGTGCTGTCATCTGTACTGTTCTACTCCTCCACCATGGCTCCTTCTTACCCCTGGCTCAGTGAAGACTGTGTGCTATCATCTGTACTGTTCCACTCCTCCACCATGTCTCCTTCTGCTAGAAACAGGTTTAAAGGGCCACCAGGAGTTGTCAGCAAGGGGGTTAAAGCAAAAGTCCAGGCAACATTGTAATCCTTGGAGTGGGGCTACCCCCACATTGCAAGGGTCAAGTGCTCATTTTTGTCTAGAGACTAAAGTAAAAAAGTTCAAATGCAAATACATTTACAAAAACAATGTAAAGCTGATATCTCAGCATATTCATTAGACGTGTAAAGGCTCGAAAAAATTGTTTTGTTTCTGATAAATTCACATTTTTGGGGGGGATTTCGGATCCAAATTTAGTTCAGTTTGTTATTCGGAATTAGGATTGAATCACATTTTTAAAATTAAAAAATTAACTTAATACATTTTTTTAGGGGGGGGGGTGTCATTTTTGTTCTGCACTGGTCATATTAGTCCGTACTAGTCCCCTTAGTCCGTATTGTCCGAATATGAAGAAATTAGTCTGAATTTAAATTCTGAATGAAATGAAACTTACATGTCTAATACTCATAGGAAGTAAAAGACAATCACAATGCCTCCAGGCTGAAATGGAATGGTAATTGTAATAATATTAAATGACAAAATGGCAGATGCTGCAATCATATATGTTATATTCTTTTTCAGTTAAAGTGGAATTTTATTTTATGGGTGTTAGACAAGTAAGCGGACGACTTTTTGAGCACGGTCCATGAACGGTTTCCATAGCAACAGCATCCCTCTGCCTTGACAACGACGTGCTGCGTGGTGATGTCAGCTCGCCCATACGCCGACTTTTCCTTGGTAACCGCCCAGGCCAGCGGCAGAGCCTGTGTTCTCTTCCGGACAACAACAATGGCGGATAGTCTGTCCTCTCCCGGTACCGGAGACTCACCTCCCCAGTCCGGCATTGATGGCTCTCAGCGGCTTCTCTTCTCTCACGACCTGGTGTTCGGTACCTACCGGGGTCACAGCCGCTTCGGCCTGGTTAGGCTCATCCACGGGGAGGACTCAGAGAGCGAAGAGAACGAGGAGGAGGAGGTGGTAGTGGTGGAAGAGGAAGAGGAGGCCGCGGGGGGCCAGATGAAACAGAGCGGCGGCGGAGGTGCACCGGGGGCAGCACAGGGGAGCCCCGGATCGGACACTGGTGGTGAGGCCAGCAGGTTCGGGCCCCTCAAGAGAGGCTATGTGCGGATCCAGTGGTACCCTGAGGGCATCCGGCAAGATGTGAAGGAGACCAAGGTACTTAATGCAGCAGCTGGAACACCTATTGTGTGACCCCCCACTGTTCATGCTGGATGTAAAGAATATCTAGGGAAGTGTACGGATGCTGTCTATAGAGAATTGATGGTGTCTGTAGAGGGAGAATGGTGAACTGTACTGATACTGGTTATAGATGATGACTGGTGAACTGTACTGGTTATAGATGATGACTGGTGAACTGTACTGACACTGGCTATAGATGATGACTGGTGAACTGTACTGGTTTATAGATGATGACTGGTGAACTGTACTGACGCTGGCTATAGATGATGATGACTGTACTGCCACTGGCTATAGATGATGACTGGTGGACTGTACTGACGCTGGCTATAGATGATGATGACTGTACTGCCACTGGCTATAGATGATGATGACTGGTGGACTGTACTGACACTGGCTATAGATGATGACTGGTGAACTGTACTGACGCTGGCTATAGATGATGATGACTGTACTGCCACTGGCTATAGATGATGATGACTGGTGGACTGTACTGACACTGGCTATAGTACTGTACTGACACTGGCTGTACTGACACTGGTGGACTGTACTGACGCTGGCTATAGATGATGACTGGTGGACTGCACTGATACTGGTTATAGATGATGACTGGTGGTCTGTACTGGTTATAGATGATGAATCATGAACTGTACTGGTACTGGCTATAGATGACTGGTGGACTGCACTGGTACTGGATATAGATGATGAATCGTGAACTGTACTGATACTGGCTATAGATGACTGGACTGATACTGGCTATAGATGATGACTAGTGAACTGTACTAATACTGCTTATAGATGATGACTGGTGGACTGCACTGGATATAGATGATGACTGGTGGACTGCACTGGTACTGGATATAGATGATGACTGGTGGACTGTACTGATTATAGATAATGACTGGTAAATTGTACTGATACTGGATGAAGATGATGACTGGTGCACTATACTTTCACTGGCTATAGATGATGAGTGGTGAACTGTACTGGCACTCGCTGTAGAGGATGACTGGTGCACTGTACTGATATTGGTTATAAATGACTGGTGAATGATGGTGACAGGCGAACTGTACTGATGCTGGCTGGCTATGGATGATGAATGGTAAACTCCATCCATACTGGCAATAGATGATGAGCAGTGAACTGTACTGATACTGGCTATATAGATGACTAGTGGACTACACTGATGCTGTACAGCTGTGTTGGTGCTGCCTGTAGAGGTTAACTAGTAAACTGTACTGATAGTAAAAATATAGGGTGATTGGTAAAGTGTGCTGTTTTGGCTCCAGGCAATGAATAGTAAAATGTTTTAGTACTGGTGTCTAAAGGATGAACTGCTGCTGATGCTGGGTACAGATGAATGGTAAACCATATGAATTCTGGTTACAGAGGATGAATGGCAAGCCATACTGATGCTGGTAACATAGGATAAATGTTGAAGTGTTGAAGGGCCAGTAAAGGACTTGGTTACAGAGGATGAATAGTGAACCAGACTGGTTACAGAGGATGAATAGTGAACCGTACTGGTTACAGAGGATGAATAGTGAACCGTACTGGTTACAGAGGATGGATAGTGAACCGTGCTAGTTCCGGTTGAGGATGGATGGGGAACCGTGCTAGTCCTAGTTAGAGGATGGATGGGGAACCGTACTAGTCCCGGTTAGAGGATGGATGGGGAACCGTACTAGTCCTGGTGGTGGATGGATGGATGGGGGACCGTACTAGTCCTGGTGGTGGTGGATGGATGGGGAACCGTAGTGGTCCTGGTGATAGAAGATGGATAGTGAATAATACTGGTACTCGCAATAGTTGCTGAATGGTGAGCTGTACCAATGCTGGCTATAGCAGATAAAAGGTGATCCATACTGGTGCTCTCGTGCTTGCTACAGAGGATTAATGGTTACCTGTACTGATGCTGGCTACAGAATGTCCCTAGTAAATTGTACAAAGAGTATCTAATATGGCTGCTGTTTAAAAAGGTAAAGTGAAATACGTGGTGCCATGTGCTTTATTTGCCAACAATAGAAAAGCTCAAGGTCCTCCTTGTTGTAATTTTAATGCAGATTTCCCTACATCCATCCCGAGATCTCTGTAGCCGTTGTGATGATTGACATGCCATCATGTAACAACATTTTCAGTACAGGTGTCATTCTTTTTGAGGAGTGTTTTAGATTATGGTTGACATGTGAAGGTAGTAAGAGACTTTCGATGTCTTTAGCCCAGTGTCAGATATTTCTAAACATTTACTAGATAGATATATCATGTGTCTGGTGTAACGAGGGCTTTAAAAACCACCAGCATTCATTGAAAATACAAGTGCAAATTTTGAAATGTGTAATTTGTTTTCCCTTTTTGCTCTTTATTGCCATTAAACAAAGACTGGAACTGCTTCTTGGATGTGCTCTTGTATGCATGATGGAGAAAAAAAGACCTAGGTGTTGGAGCTGCTGTGATGAGCAGACGAACACCATCTATCGTCTGTGGGTGTCTGTAGGCTTTTTCACTCCATGGAAAATATATTTTTGCAGTGTCACTGTAACGTATTCTGAACCGCAATGTGATGATAGTAGTAGAAAAGATGGAATCACTAATTTATTTATTCTTTGGTAAGTCCGCAGTGTATGATATTAAGGCAGACGTTGGTCTTCTGTGTGGAAGATCTTCTTGTTCTGTGTTTGGGTTTTATTGCTTCTCTTCTACCTTTCATTTCAATTATGCATCCACCAGGGCTTTGTGGATACCATACTTCCATCAATAAACCTAATTATGGCGTCATCTTTTTCCACTTCTCCAATATTGTGCAGTCATTCTGTGTCCGCACTATTCCTTTTTTTGTTTTCCCCCTTTCATTTGTCCCTATGCAGGTTTGTTTATTTATGAAGTAACCTTCAGAATCTTCGTTACATTTGTGATGTGTTCAGAGCATTTTCTCCGGGGAAAGAAGAGTTAACCAATAAAGCTGATGCACATCCGGACAGCAGGGGTCCCTTCTGCTTGTGATATTTGCAGGGATTTTAGGATGCCATTAGCAAGGAATGAGAAATTCCCTTGGGCGGGCTTTGCCTCCCTAAAATGTCACCTTTTGGCTTCTGGATGGCTAATTTACACAGACCTCTCCCATGTTGTGGCGATGTCTCAGGTTCTATGTGAGATGTCTGAACGTTAAAAGTGCTGAAGTTTTTCGGTACTTTTTCTGTTTTATTGTTTAACTTAACAGTGATAGGTTACACAATATAGAGAGTAGCAGTTTCTTTTGACTAAAGAATTAATTGGAGCCATGGCAGATGGAACTGTAACGGGGTTTGACCTTTTGGATGTCATAAAATGCTTTGTAACCGGACCAGTTGAGTGAATCCCATGAGGCAGATGGACAACCCACCTAAACAAAAAGACAGCCAAAAATCCCATCCAAATACTGACTATCCCACTTTGGTATTTGCATAGGGCTAGGTACGCCACCCCCTTTCCCCCACTCAAGGCAGTTGATGGGTCAGTCAGGTACTTATCATGGATTCGGGGAGACCAGCGGAATGTACACATGTGCCCTACCCAGAAATCCCATATTTTGGGGGTGATAGTGGTAGATCTTGAAGGCTGGTAGCAATGTTAATGTAGGAGCAGGCACCTTTCTGTGCCTGTTGCACATTGTTAGTATTGGCTTGCTTTCGGTATACCTACTATGGGTTTCCTTTTAAAAGAGCCCAATGACTCTTGGACTGGAGTGGCCCCTGATTTTCATGTGCACATTGTTAGTGGAGAGCATACTCTACTGCCTTTTTGGAATAGCAGTGTAAAGCGAGATAACATGCTTATAAAGAATTGGTTCCAAGGTACACTGCGCTAGGAATAAGTTCTAAATAGCTTATAGGACCAGCAGCAACTATGTATGAAAAAGATGTCTGATATGGTAAATAAGTTGCGCTTGATCTAAATAAATGTGGATTCCAAAATGGAAAATATCATGAATAACACACAAACATCTATACAAATAACCAAATATTCTATCCTAATGTGTGATCGATACGTGTATGATCAAACCCTCAATATGGACCAATTTCTTAGTTCCAAGAGAGAGCCATAATCAGTGTGGAAATATCCAAAATTCTTATTTAGGCATGTGATACGTGAAACTTGTATTCATCCACCCCACATCAACATGCTTATAACCCTTATGCTGGCCAGGGGTAGACAAAAATAATTATTATGGAATTGAGGAGCCAGTTTGTCCTGTCCAGGAGCCTACAGGATTTTTTTTGGGCGCCAGCTCCATTGACAAGAATTAGAGAAAACCTTGGGAAGTTAGTCACCAGCTGTTTTATAGAAGAACTCTGGGCAGAAAAACAAATTTCCCTTGCTACCCCATACTGCAAGGGTTAAATGCTCATTTTGGTCTAGGGTCTAAAAAAACTAAGATATACCTCACCCAAACCTTGGTCCCACCTGGCTGCTAGATCCATCCCAGACAGCTCCTCTCTGATCCGCCGGTGGTATCTCCCTCACTGTCCTCACATCTAATACACTGTATTAAATGAGATGACTCGAGTGTCCTTAGACTGCTGGAACGGAGGGAGAGAGAGACTGCAGGGGACCAGTCTAGCAGTCAGGCAGGACCAAGGATAAGGGGAGTACATCCTTTTTAAAAACCTATTTTAGACCCTAGACTAAAATGAGCACTTAACCGGTGCATGCAAAACGCATCAAACCTTGACCTCACCGAGTGCCACTCCTGTCGGCTAAGAACAGGAAACGGAGGCTACAATTCGCAAGGGCTCACCAAAATTGGATAATAGAAGGTTGTGAAAACGTTGCCTCGTCTGATGAGTCACGATTTCTGCTGCAACATTCGGATGATCAGGTCATAATTTGGCATAAACAACTTAAAAGCATAGATCCATCCTACTTTGTATCAACGGTTCAGGCTGGTGGTGGTGGATATGTCCTTGGCACACTTCGGGCCCCTTAGTACCAATTGAGCATCA